ATTCTCTACATCCCCTCTGTTTCTGCCAAGGGTTGCCATCAGCTGCTCCAGAAAGTGTGCATTAGTATAGTCAGTCAATCATCTTGACTCTTAATAGCCAATCATCTTGGACTAATGTCTGCCAATTAGTCTTGCATTCCCTGTGGCCATTCCAGAGTTAGTGGGTAAACTCACATTCTTTTGGTTGTCTTCTAAGGCCCAAGCCCTATAGTTTTATTAATTTGATTGGGGGAACTCATTAAATTGATCAGGAACACCTCTCATCAGCCTCTTACATATAAAAATTACTTAGTTGATTATAAAATGCTATGTAAATGTCAGCTATTATTAGCTATGCCTTTCTCTAAGTCATTGATTTAAAAAAATATTAATACAAGCCCAAGCAAAGATCTATAAGACATTCCTGAGTCACCCAACCATTAATGACTATTTGTTGGGTTTGGCCGTTTATCCAGGTCTGAAACCACCATCTCTAATTTATTCCCAAGCCATCACTCTTGCCCTGGTTATGCTATCCTCCCTTTCCTAGCTTAGTGAACCAATTCAACTCTGTATTATCCTCCAATTTCAAATCTCTTCTGGGCCCTGGTCTTACCACCCATCACACCTAGCCAAACCTAAATCCAGGATTACTCTCACCACCTACTTCCTTTGCTCCTATTCACATGCTAGAGAAAAAGTGGATTGTTTCCAACACAATTTTTCTGAGTTTAATCTCAACTAGGCCCTGACTACAGTGAGAAAAACATTTTATCCCTTCCTAATCCATTCCCTATCCCACTCCCCACAGCAGGTGTGTATCTGTGTGTGTTCAGTCATTTTCCATAGTGCCTGACTCTTTGTGACCCCACTTGGGGTTTTCTTGGCAAAGATACTGGAGTGGTTTGCCATTTCCTTCTCCAGCTCATTTTACAGATGAGGAAACTGAGGCAAAAGGGTTAAGTGACTCACCCAGGAGGTCAGATTTGAACTCAAGAACATGAGTCTTCCTGATTCCAGGCCCAGCTCTCTGTCCACTGCTCCACCTAGCTGCCCTAAACTCTTTCATCTCTTCTCAAGCTTTCCACAGTACCCCCTTCCTCACTCTCTCAGCTAAAGATGTTGCATCATACTTCTCTACTAAACTCTCAGAAACTGGGTTTTTTATCTCATTGTTCAAGTGAAATCTCCCTCCCCAAAGTCACCAGTGATCTCTTACTTGCCAAATCTAATGGCCTTTTCTCGATCCTCATCCTCCTTGACCTCTCTGTAGCATTTGACACTGTTGATCACCATCTCCTTCTAGATGTTCTCTCTTCACTAGGTTTTTCCTCCTATCTGTTCAATCACTGCTCAGGCTTCTTTCCTGGATCTTCATCCCTTAATTGCAAGTTCACCCTAAGGCTCTGTCCCTGGCCCTTTTACCTTTTTTTTTTCCCCCCATGAATATAGGTTGTACAAGATTATTTTTTTTTTTTTGGAATGGGGGTAGCCAAGTGGCAAATGGATAGAGTACCTGCCTTGGAGTTAGGAGGACCTGAGTTCAAATCTGGTCTCAGACATTTAATAGCTGTGTGACCCTGGGCAAGTCACTTAACCCCAACTGACTCACTAAAAAAAAGATTATTTTTTTTTCCACGAAGGCCACATTTTTTTAGGATTAAATTATGTATGTTTTTTTTTTCTATCAATGAAAATCCTTCTCTCCCTGCCATCACCACCCCACATTGAGAAAGAAAGAAAATAAAGCTGGGTGGTCTTCTTTTCTCCCTCTATATCAGGGATTCTTAGCCTTTTTGTATTATGGACCTCTTTGGTAGTGTGATGAAGCTTATGGACCCCTTCTCAGAATAATGTTTTTAAATGCACAAAAGAAAATAGAGAGGATTGCAAAGGAAGTCAATTATGTTGAAATACAAATTTTATTTATTTATTTTGCTTTTTGGTGAGGCAGTCAGGGTTAAGTGACCTGTCTAGGGTCACACAGATAGTGTCAAGTGTCTAAGGCTAGGTCAAAATATTTTTCTTTAAAAAAAAGTTCATTAAAAAAAATTTTTTTAAAAATGTTCAGTCCCCTAATTGCAACACTTGCTTTATCCTATCTCATTTGGTGATGTCATCAATTCCCATGGGTCCAACTGTTATTTCTATGCAGATGATTCCCAGATCTGTATGTCCAGTCTCCCTCCTGAGCTACAGTCCTGCATTTTGTACATCTCAAATTGAATATCCTCTAGGCATCTCAAATTCAACATGTCCAAAAGAGAGCTCATTATGTTTCCCCTCAAACCCTCCTTTCTCAATTTCCCAATGGCTATTGAGAATACTGCCATCAGGGCAGCTAGGTGGTGCAGTAGGTAGAGCACGGGCCCTGGAATCAGGAGGACCTGAGTTCAAATCCACTCTATAACACTTTCTAGCTGTGTGACCCTGGGCAAGTCACATAACCCCGACTGCCTCCAAAACCCCTCCACAAACAAACAAAAAAGAACGCTACCATCTTCCCAGTCACTCAGGTTTGCAATCTCAGTCTCAACCTCCTCATTCTTACTCTTTCCACATAGCCAATCCATTGCCAAATGTCGTCACTTCTACTCCACAGCATCAAGTATTCTCCAATCCTCCAGACACAATCCTAGTTCGAGACCCCATCACCTCTTTCTGGGATTGTTGCAGTAACCCTTCTAGTCAATCTCCCTGACTCAAGTCTCCTCACAGATCACTGCAGCCTCCACTTGGTTGCCAAGGTGACTGTTCTAAAGCATAGGTTTGACAACATCATCTACCCTGTTCGATGAGTTCCAGTGGTTTCTTATCACCTCTAAGATCAAATAGAAACTCCTCTGCTTGGCATTTAAAGCTCTTCATAATTTAATCCCTTCCTACTTTTTTAGTCTTCTTTCTTCCACATGTTCTACATTCCAGCAATTCTGTCCTATTTGCAGTTCCTCAAACATAACAATTCCATGTCCCTTTTTGCTCCCCATCCCCCACATCTGGAGGGCCCCACTGCTTTGACTTCCTTTAAGATTCAGTTAAGTTCCATCTGCTCCAGAAGTCCTTTCCTAGTCTCCACCTCCCTCTATCACCACCCCACTCAAAATCTTTCCTCTTAGGGTCTTCTGCATACTCTTAGATTTACTTTAGATCTTAGATCTAAATTTAGATTTATTTTAGATCTTAGATTTACATAACAACTTACCTGTTGTCTTCCCCATTAGAATATAAGCTCCTTGAGGGTGGGGACTGTTTTGCCTTTCTTTGTATCCCCAGAGCTGAGCACAGTGCCGGCCTCATAGTAAGCACTTAATAAATGTTTGTTGGCTTGATTTGACTTGTCTGTCCCCTCTATTCCATCCTCTGTCCACCTGTTGTACCTACTGTCTGTACCATTTGACTCATTATACTTGGGTTGGTATTGTTATTTATATATTTCTAGAATAGTCAAGAGACAGCTAGACAGAGAAAGAGACAGAAACAGAGACCGAGATAGAAATAGAGACAGGTAGTGAGAGGCAAGAAAGAAAGACACAGACTTCAAACTGGTCATGAGGAGGCCCCCAGAGCCATAAGTATGTGGGGAAGAACTGGCACCCCAGTGTATCCCAGCACCTATAACCCCAGAGACTGAGAGGACTTCTTGGATTTTCTCCACAGTTAAACTGAGATTTCATCTATTTACAGCTGTTTCTTTTAGACATCAGTATTCTATCACCTGATCTGATCTGTATAGCTTCCCCAGTGGTTGTTTTACTTGCTTGCTTTGATAAACTAGTTATCTGTAATTGTTTTTTGTGTGTTAAGCTTTGTGGGAGGAGAATTAGGTGGAGGAGATACACCTGCTACCCTCCAAGTCTGGGCAGGACTACTTCTCAGACCTTCAGAGTGGCCAGGCAACATCTTGAACCCCCTAAAGAATCATGCTTCTAGCCTACAAATGTCTGATGTGTAACAAATGAAAACAGGGGAGTGGAGCGTTTGCCTAGTCACAGCTGTCTTCCTGCTCTCCACAAAGGTGGAATTTCCTGAGCTCCCTGGGAGATCGATTGAGCATTCTGGACTTGATACAAAATCCGTGTTTGCCACATGGGTCCCCATTAGACTGGACCAGTCATTTATGTTTAATGGGAATGTACATGTATAGCCTATTACAGATTGCGCACCATCTTGGGGAGGGAAGGGAAGAAAAATTTTAAACTCAAAAGCTTGTGGAAGTGATTGTTGATAAATCAAAATAAATTAATAAAGTAGACTGGACCAGTCAAAACTTATCAACACATAAAGCTCTGTGAGATAGGTGCTTTTATTATCTCAATGTGACAGATGAGGAAACTAAGGCGCGGAGAAATGATATGACTTGCCCATGGTCACACAGCTATTTTAAGTGCTTAAAGATGGATTGGAGGCCATGTTTTCCTGAATCTAAATCCAGCATTCTAGCTATTTTGCCAAGCTGCTTGTTCACACTGACTTTCTCCCATACCACCTAACGCAATCCACTTATTTATTTAATTATCATATGCTAAGCTCCGCTATGCACAAAGCATTTTGCTAAGGGAGATTTTTCCTTTTTGTCAAAGAGCTTACAATCTAACAGTTAATTTTCTCTAAGGGCAGATAGATGGAGCATTAAATGCAGGGCCCACCTGGAGTCAGGAAGACCTAAATTCAAATCCAGCCTCAAACACTCCTGTGTGATGGTGGACAAGTCACCTAACCTCTGTTTGTGTCATCTGTAAAATGGGGGATCTTAATAGTACTTGCCTCTCAGGGTTGATTAAATAGGATAATTGTAAAGTGTTTATCATGATGGCTGGCACACAGTAGGTGATACGTAAATGTTAGCTATTATTATTATCTAGGCCACTTGCTAAGACATATCTTTTTAAAAAAAAAAAAACAATGCTATAGTGGGAGACTACCCTGTCTCTAATCCTGGTTCTATCTTGCTAACTGAGTCATGGTGGCATTAAGCAAGTAATTTTAACTCTCCATGATCCATGTTCCTTTTACTCTTTTAGGAAGAGTTTCTCTCAATTGGTGAATGGATGAACAAGGTATAGTATATAGCCAATGTGGGAATTTTTTACAAGGGTTTTATTTTTCTTTCTTTTTCAATGGAGGAGGGCGGGAAATGGAGGGAATATAATAATAAAAGCACCTATCTCACAGAGCTTTATGTGTTGATAAGTTTTGACTGGTCCATTAATTGAAAAAGTTATTGAAAAAACCTAATTTGTAAAAATAACGGAAATAAAAAAGGATAGGCTTGGACTGGGGGTGGGTGTGGGGGTTGGTTTTGTGATTGCTATAGAAACTGAGTTTGGAACTTTCATGGAATTTTACTTTCCAACTCAAAAAAGGCCCTCGTTACAATGTTCCATAACCGCTGGGTACTTTAAGATGTCCAGATTTCTTAAAGAGCCTCTTTGTTTTTCAGTAAATTCTCAAAGGACTCCACCCTGCAAGAATTTCTGTAAGACCTTTTAATTCTGTTCTTGCTTCATCTTGCAGACAGAAGCAACACTATGAGAAGCGGTTCTATCTCATAACACTCCTTTTACTTTTCTAAAGCTCTTTTCAAGATGGTCCAACTTTACAATGTCAGAGAGAAGCAATTTTAAGCCTTGACATTCACATCTTGTTGCAACTATTTACCCTTTATTCAGGGACATTTTGGCCTCAGGGGAAAAGTACTGAATTTGAGACCAAGGGGACCTGAATTCTAATCCTGATTCTGCTACTAACCAAGAGAGTTATTACAAGAACATAGTGACAAAAGGGAGATTTTCAACCTTCCTACCCTGTGAGGTAAGCAGGGCAAATGATTCTCCCATCTGACAAGGTGCCTTACCCAAAGTGGTATTGGAACCCGGGTCTCTTTACTGCCAATGATGGGGTGACGGGACTTGGACCCCTAAAAGGAAAAGACCATGTCTATGAAAGTAGCCCAGTCCCTGAGTTTTCCTACACATTTCAGTAGCCCAGATCGATGGCATTTTACCCAAGGCATCTGGCCCATCCCAGCTCCACCTCTTACCCCAAAAGATTTGAGGGATGATGGGGTGATGGGACTTGGACCCTGAATTTTCCCATACATTTCAACAACTCAGTCCTAGAACTTTCCCTTGCATTTTCAGCTGGCCAGATCACAGGTGTCTTGCCTAAGGCATAAGGCCCACCTTGATTACTTAATTAGTTTACTTGCTACTCCTTAATCCCATTTTCACTGACTCTTTTCCTCTTTTTTTGCATGTAAGTATCTGTCCCATCCTCATCAACCTGCAGATTCCTTAAAAATCTCACTGCTCCTACAGGTGTTACAATAAACCTTGCCACCATGACTGAAAGAAACTTTGAGTGCTGAATTCATTCCAGGCAGACTCACCTTGTACTCTTACATTTCCGGGTTCCAAGCAACCCTAACCGCAACACCATCACATCATACTAAAAGGGAGCCGTTATGTAGCAGAAAGAGCATTAGATTTGAAGTCAGCAGACCTGAATTCATAGCCTGGCTCCAACATTTAAGTGTTGGCATTGCTGTGTGACCTAAGGCAAGTCATTTAACATCTCAAAACCTCTTTGTAAAATGATGATAATCAGATCAGAATCTTTCCAAACTGGACTCAGTAAATCTGTCTCTGTTGATTAGTCTATCCCAAGATGGCTTAGCTGGTAGGTTTGAGGGGAGGAAGATTGGGAGGGATTGGCAGATTGAGCTGAGTTTTCCTAGTTTCCTAGCCCTCCAGGCTGAACCAGAAAATTAATATGACAGTGTGTGTAAAGTCTATATCAGATTGCATGCTTGGGGAGGGGAAGAAAATTGAGAACGCAAAATCTTATGGAAGTGAATGTCGAAAACTAAAACTAAATAAAAAAGAAAGAAAAGTGACAGTGAGGTCCCTAGGATTGATGCTGCTTTAAAACTCCATCCATGCTCATGGAGCCTGTTGCTATTAGAATTCTACAATTTTTTTCGGTACTTGCTGGTGTGTGCAAATCTATCTTCTCTACCTCATGGTCAGCCAGAACAGAGCTGGTGAACAAGATTTGTTCTCTCACACACAGGGAGTCCTCAACCCAATCATTCTTCTCTTAGGCTTGCTTTCTGCCCCCAGTGGGCTTTTAAGTATCCCTACCTTTGGCATAGTATAAAAAGTTAGGCTTCTGGAACCCATAGTGATGTCTATTCGATTTACTCTGCCCAGGAAAGAATAGATACATACACAAAACCTCTCTGGAGAGGTACCAGAGACCTCCCTGTTTCTCATTCTTTGCTTCTCTCTGTCACCTGAAATCTCTCTCCTCCTTCAGGTCATATGGAGTCTGCATGACCCCTGTTCCTAATATCTTGTCCCATTCCTTCTTGGTGAGTCCTCGATGAACTGCCTCCCAACACCCTTCATACACAAGTACATTAACCACAGGCCAGGGTGCACTCCCCTGACTCCAAGCACCCTTTAGATCCAGAGTTCATTAGTACTTCTGGGATTCTCACGTTTGAGTCTATGTGAAAGCCTGGGTGTCCTACATGTGTGTCTCTGTGTGTATCTGTGTCTATCTATATGAGTTTATGTTTGCGGTGTCTTAGTAAGCAGAATACACATATCTGTATGTGCATGTGTTGAGTAGCTCTGGGTAGATTTTTATGTGGGTATTTCCATACTCTCTGCCAATTTCTGGATGGACTTGTCGGAAATAGCCCTCTCCTCCCTCCTTTCAGTCCCAGCCCAGGGAGCTGAAAGGGCTCTGAATCATAAACCGGATAAAGGTGAGACTTTGAGCACACTACATAGTGGGGAGGAGGGAAGAAGAATGTCCTCCCTAAACTCTCTTTACCATGCTTACCCTATGATTCTAATGATGAGTGGGAGGTCAGGTGGGACCACCAGAAACATGCTCTTCTCTAGAAAAAGAACTATCTCGAAGTAGGACTCCTTGAAGGTAGGGGCTAGTTAGACCAAAAGGCACCCTAAGAGTGAAACTATTTCAATCCAGCTTACCCCAAGTAGCTCAGTTTGCTGGCCCCTCCTTCCCAACCCCAGGGAGCCCCAGGGTTTCCTGGTAGCCCTAGCACTGAACCTGAGCTAGGTCCTTATCTCCCTGCCCTAGGCTTGAGCTGTGCTTTCAGGGAGTCACTGCCCAACCACCCTCCACCCCCCCCCCAGCCCTCACCTGTGACGTCCCAAATGCCATCTCAGCTTTGGGGCTCAGGGCTTGAGGGGTGGGGTGGTGAGTTTCCATGGAAACAAGGGTTTGTGGTGAGAGGCCTTGCAGCCCCATGGGGAGATATTTATCAGGCACAGGATGCCAAGTGTGAGTAGGGACAGAGGCGAGAATATTCTTTCAGGAGAGGATGGAGGATGCTAAAGAGGTCGGAAGAACAGGGAGTGTGTCAGATACAGCACCCCACTTCCACCCCCATGATCCCCAAAGCTTGGTTTCAATAACTCAGAGATTACTTCACTTTGGAGCTCCACGTTTCAGGCCATCCATTTTGTGATAGGAAGAGAACTGAGGGCAGATATAAAAAGAGAGGTTCACCCTCAACCCTGGATAACCAAGAGTCTAGGATGGTGTGGGAGTTGGGTAACAAAGAGGCTTTTGGTCTGGATGGGATTTTGAAAAGCCCATATGGAACAGGAGCTGGAGAACAAAACTGAATTAGCTTCCAGGGGGATGGCAGGGGATATTAAGGGGCACTATTTAGCCACAGAGGTCGGGAGAAACTTGAATGGAGTACCAAAGTCTTTCTTTGGCTCCTCCATCCTGAGAGACTTTTAATTATAAGGAAAACATGACCTTTCTCCTCTCCTCAATTCCCATCCTTCATGGAGATAAGAGCTTCTATTGTTACTACTTTATGTCCTGAATTATTAAATTTTTGAGGGGGAGGCAATCAGGGTTAAGTGACTTACCCAGGGTCATACAGCTAGTTAAGTGTCTGAGGTTGGATTTGAACTCAGGTCCTCCTGATTGCAGGGCTCTGATACAATGCACCACCTGGCTGCCCCTATGTCCTGAGTTACTGACAATAACCTCCTAATTGGTTTCCCTGCCTCAGTCTTTCTCCTCTCCAATGTATCTTTCACATAGCTGTCAGAGTAATATTCTTAGATTCAAGTCTGCCTCCATTACTTATGGCCTGTGTGGCATCGGACAAGTTTCTTAACCTCTCTGGGACTCAGATTCCTCATCTCTAAAATGAAGGAGTTGGTCTAGATGACCTATAAGGATCCTTCCAGCTCAAAATCTAAGATCCTGTGATCCTCTGCTAGAGAAACTCTAAAGTCTTTTGCAGTCCTAAATCTATGGTTCCGTGGTCTTCTCAAGAAACTACAGTGGCTCTCTACTACTTCTGGGAAGAACTACAGACTCCTCTTTTTGGTATTTAAAACCTATTACATTCTGACTCCAAGTTACCTTTCCCACTATGGTGTACATTACTCTCTTTTCATGTACCCTCTGTTGCAGGCAAACTGATCTGTTAGCCATTCCCCACACACAGCTTTCCATCTTTCCCACCTCCAAGCCTTTGCAAAGGCTGTCCCTCATCCCTGGAATGTGCTCCTTTCTCACCTCCACCTCTCAGGTTGCCTCGCTTTTCAGGTATCCCCCCCCTCCACCCCCACCTAGCCAGGGCTCCTGTTTACTGCTACCACCACCACTCCCAGCTTCCTAAGAATTAATAACTTTGGCTTTTCTGTTCTACATGGCTGCACATCATTTCCCTTAGGTCACAGCCCAGTGCCCAGAGCTCTGTCTGCTCAGGTGAGAAGGAATCACAGCTGGACTGGGGCCAAAGGACTCAATGCGCACTGGTTTCCTACCCCCTGAAGCTACCCCATAGAGTGGCAGATGGATGGGTAAGGTGCCTACCCCAAGGCTTACACCCTGATTATTTTTGAGGGCCAAGGATTTCAAATAAGAAGATAAAGAGGAAACCCTGAAAAAACCTGCAAGAGTACAAGATAGACTTTAAGAAAGAGTTAAAGAGTATAACTAAATTAGAAACTTTCATCTGCTGGCTAAATCCAGGATTTGCAAACCTATCCCCTACACATGTTCTCCACCCCCACTTTCATTTTAGATAGTATCCCCCTGATCATAATTCCGAGCTATTGTTTAACCAGGGTTGTAGTTTCTCTGGGACTGCTGTTATAGGATTTCAATTTAGAGCTGGAAGGGACCTCAGAGGTCATCTCCCTCATTTTACAGAGAAGGAAACTAAAGTCTCAAAGGATGTTAAACTACTTACTTAACTTGAAGAGGCAGGATTTTTCCCCCCCACTTAATAGTATTTTATTTTTTTCCAATTATATGTACAGATAGTTTTCAACATTCACTTTTATAATATTTTGAGTTCCAAATTTTTTCTCCTTCCCTCCCTTCCCTCTCCCCTCCCCAAGAGGGCATGCAATCTGATATAGGCTATACATATACAATCATATTAAACATATTTCCGCATTAGTCATGTTATGAAAGAAGAATCAGAACAAAAGGGAAAAACCACGAGAAAGGAAAAAAAAAAGAAAGAGAAAATAGCATGCTTCAGTCTGCATTCAGACTCCACAGTTCTTTCTCTAGACTTGAATAGCATTTTCCATCATGAGTCTTTTGGATCATTGCATTGCTGAGAAGAGCTAAGTCATTCAGAGTTGATCATCGCACCATGTTGCTATTACTGTATACAATGGTTTCTTGGTTCTGCTCACTTCACTCAGCATTGGTTCATGTAAGTCTTTCCAGGTTTTTCTGAAATCATCCTGCTCATCATTTCTTCTACCACAATAACATTCCATTACATTCATATACCACAACTTGCTCAGCCATTCCCCAATTGATGGGCATCCCCTCAATTTCCAGTTCTTTGCCACCACAAAAAGAGCTGCTATAAATATTTTTGTACATGAGGGTCCTTTTCCATTTTTCATGATCTCTTTGGGATACAGACCTCGTAGTGATATTGCTGGATCAAAAGGCATGCACAATTTTATAACCCTTTGGGCATAGTTCCAAATTGCTCTCCAGAATGGTTGGATTATTTCACAACTCCACCAACAACGAATTAGTGTTCCAATTTTCCCATATCTTCTCCAACATTTATCATTATCTTGATTTGTCCTGTTAGCCAATCTGATAGGCGTGAAGTGATGCCTGAGAGTTGTTTTGATTTGCATTTCTCTATCAATAGTGATTAAGAATATTTTTATGTGACTATAGGTAACTTTAATTTCTTTATCTGAAAACTGCCTGTTCATATCCTTTGACCTTTTATCAATTGGGGAATGACTTGCATTCTTATAAATTCTACTCAATTCTCTATATATTTTAGAAATGAGGACTT